TCATGGGATCCAAGGATCCAAACACACATGTTTGTTGAGATGTTTATTAAAATTCCAGGTGTGGGGAACATTCAGAATAAGAGAGTCCCTCCCGTGGGGGGTTCAGGTCTAGCAGGGGAAGGAGATGCACACAAAGCTACAAAGTCACATGGGAAGTGCTCTAACTGAAGTGAGCACAGGAAGTTGGACCTATTTCTTTGATCCTGAGATCTGGACAGAAGACAATCCTCCTCCTTGCTTCAGAGGATACAATGGAAACCCAGAGGAATCTGCTCGGCACCAGTAAGCTGGAAGCCACGCTGCCTTCCACCCAATTCTCTGTGGGGACACTGTGCTGGTTTCAGTCCCTGGGTCCTGCCCTTAGTTCAGCCTGTCTTTCTTGCCCCTCAGGTGTGTCTGGTGGTAGAAGTTGAGGAAGAGAATGAGGAAGCTGAGGGCTTACAGGAGCACAGATGTGTTGAACCATCAGGGAAGGGGCACTTGGTGAGGAGACTGTAGGAAGAGGGGGCAGCAGTGGCCACAAACTGACCCTGGGCAAAAGAAAGTGTGAGAAGAAAGAGAGGGGAGAGCAGTCAGTTCTTTCCACCCCATGATCCCAAGAATCTTCTTGACTCTTCTCCTGGTCCTGGTTGCCCCAATTCCCCCATCCAGCCATGTCATGGTGGTCCTGATGATAAACTCAGTATATCCAGAGCCCCATATGGGACACTTTAGGCTGTCATCACCATCTGGGGGGCAGTGGTGTTCCCAAAACTGCAAGACATCAGGCACCTGGAGGGTGAAATCAGTGATCACAGACTCACAGGATATTAATGTTTAGAGGTCATCTGGCCGAGGCCCTCATTTTATAGATAATGACATTGAGACCTGAGCATGGAAGCTACTTGCTCAAAGTCCCACACTGTGCCAGTGAGTTAGGGTTGGTTCCAGGATCATAAGATGGCTACTGAGGTCCTTGCAAGTTGGGAAGCTAAGGAAGATCTAAGGATGAGAGAGCTTGTTTATGGGCAGATGCCAAGTCACTGGTATAGACTGACAAGTCAAGAATAGAACCAAGGGTTCAGCCAAGGCCCCTGGAGCCAATGGGATCTCCTTACCAGCTGTAGGGTGGTAAGATATCGTTTCCACCAGAAGTAGGGCCACATAGGAGGCCACAACCTGGCCAGTCCATAATACAGATACACGAAGACATGGATCAAAGAATTAAGCATCCCTATGAAGAAGGCTGCAGAGCAGGGTGTGGGGAGATAAAGGAAAATAAGTGGAGCTGGGCTTAGCTGTGGTGTGGGAGTTCTCTTTGATGTTTCAATCCTCCAAGCTGCAGAGAGCACCTCTGCAATCTCTACAGAAAATCCCTGGAGAGACCTTATCCTGCAGAGGCCCGGCATGAGCCATCTGAAGTCGTGATGATGGAGGGCTGGAGTTATTGAGATGCTAAATGAGAATATTTCTACTCCCTTTGTGTTCTGTGGGCTGATGGCTATGATGAGCATCTCCCAGCAGCCATCTCCCCATCCCAGAGATGGGTAGCCCAGGAGCTCTAAGGAGCCACACGGACAAATGGGAGCAGAGGTCTGGTCTCATGGCTTCAGGGAAGGGAAAAGTTAGAGACCAGCCATAATATTCCAGGGATGCAGGTCTCCTGAGCTGGGACTCAGCCCAGCAGACCTGCCTTACAAGGGCCTGGGGCAGGGCTGTCCACAGCACGCATCACTTACCTGGCTGCCTGCTACGTATTTGACTCCAGCCCACCCATCAGAGGGCATGGTGCCATGATGGTAGAGATGCAGGAAGGTGGGCTGCTCTGGCTTCATTCATAAAATAAAGAACACCTGGAGAGGAGGAAGAGATGGAGTCATCTCTGGAGGTCTCCTTTCTCCAGACTTCTCTCGGGGCCTCAACTACCCCTTAGAGTGGGACGGGCTAATTCTACCTGTTTTACTGAAGGAGCGACTAAAACTAAAGGGAAATAACAATAGTCAAACACCAATCTATGACCTACCGTGTGCTTTAATTGAGGCCTTTGAAATTCAAACCCTCGCAGGATCTAAGGTCTCATAGTGTGAAAGCTTCAGGTGGTCTTCTAGATGCCGGGCAGGGATGTGTGGTGGGAAGAGAGGGAAGAGAACACTATTCTACTTTGTGTGTATAAAATAATCACTGAAATGCCACATAATTGTATGCAGTTTATACTTCTACTACTTCCATTTTTCAGGATAAAAGAAGGCACAGAAAGGCTAAGTAACTTGCCCAAAGGCACACAACTAATAGGTGGCCAAACTGGGATCAGAACAGTCTGGCTTCAGAGACTGGGTTCTTTCCAATGTCCGATCCTTGCCCCCTCCAGGGCACCGGGGTAAGAATTCAGGTGTTGAACTGTCAGCCCAAGATCCAGACACCCACACCACACATTCCCACGTGATCTCTGCTCAGCTCATTTTGGCAAGAGACTGAGAAGAAAGAGCCCCCTCTTTTCATCACCAACCACACCAACATTATGCTCTTGCCCCACCCTGCTTAATCCCACAAGCCCCCTGGCCTCACCAGCAAGGTTTCTTCTCATTAACATGGAAGGATGGCTTTTGTTGTCTGATGACCCTTGCTATATCATGTCAGTTTTAAAGTTTGTTTAATTTTCCATTTTAATTGTACCTGGAACCTGGCTACTCATGGAGCAAATGCTTACTCCTACTTCTGCAGATAGAAAGCAGGGACCATGGGAGCCGGTGGAGGGGGACGCTACCTCAGTGGCTGGGCGTCCTCCCTCAGCCAGGTACCGGACCAAGGCTTTGCTCTGAAATTAGTCTCTGGCATGACTGCCTGGGCAAACCCAGAGAGCATTCTTGCTGGGAGAGTCAGACACCGCCCCAGATTTGGCTGACGGATATACAGGAGCCCATGTGTCCGGGATCTTACCTGTCAAGCAATTCAACGGCCTTTGGAAAGAGGCACCAGCAGCACAGGCTCGCCATCTGCTGGGCAGGACGGGGAAGTTCCATCAGATTGCAGTCCGGCTGGTGCCACAGCTTGTCCCACCTGGGCTGAGTTCAGCCCCAAATCCTCACTGTTCTATGCACCGCTGATTCCACAGTGCCTACCTGTCTGCAGGAAGATGCCTGTTCGCACAGGCAAAAAGGGGAGAAGCTACTGGCGTGACCACAGAAGGACTCCCCATGAGGCCTTTGAAATTCAAACCCTCGCAGGATCTAAGGTCTCATAGTGTGAAAGCTTCAGGTGGTCTTCTAGATGCCGGGCAGGGATGTGTGGTGGGAAGAGAGGGAAGAGAACACTATTCTACTTTGTGTGTATAAAATAATCACTGAAATGCCACATAATTGTATGCAGTTTATACTTCTACTACTTCCATTTTTCAGGATAAAAGAAGGCACAGAAAGGCTAAGTAACTTGCCCAAAGGCACACAACTAATAGGTGGCCAAACTGGGATCAGAACAGTCTGGCTTCAGAGACTGGGTTCTTTCCAATGTCCGATCCTTGCCCCCTCCAGGGCACTGAAGTCGTGATGATGGAGGGCTGGAGTTATTGAGATGCTAAATGAGAATATTTCTACTCCCTTTGTGTTCTGTGGGCTGATGGCTATGATGAGCATCTCCCAGCAGCCATCTCCCCATCCCAGAGATGGGTAGCCCAGGAGCTCTAAGGAGCCACACGGACAAATGGGAGCAGAGGTCTGGTCTCATGGCTTCAGGGAAGGGAAAAGTTAGAGACCAGCCATAATATTCCAGGGATGCAGGTCTCCTGAGCTGGGACTCAGCCCAGCAGACCTGCCTTACAAGGGCCTGGGGCAGGGCTGTCCACAGCACGCATCACTTACCTGGCTGCCTGCTACGTATTTGACTCCAGCCCACCCATCAGAGGGCATGGTGCCATGATGGTAGAGATGCAGGAAGGTGGGCTGCTCTGGCTTCATTCATAAAATAAAGAACACCTGGAGAGGAGGAAGAGATGGAGTCATCTCTGGAGGTCTCCTTTCTCCAGACTTCTCTCGGGGCCTCAACTACCCCTTAGAGTGGGACGGGCTAATTCTACCTGTTTTACTGAAGGAGCGACTAAAACTAAAGGGAAATAACAATAGTCAAACACCAATCTATGACCTACCGTGTGCTTTAATTGAGGCCTTTGAAATTCAAACCCTCGCAGGATCTAAGGTCTCATAGTGTGAAAGCTTCAGGTGGTCTTCTAGATGCCGGGCAGGGATGTGTGGTGGGAAGAGAGGGAAGAGAACACTATTCTACTTTGTGTGTATAAAATAATCACTGAAATACCACATAATTGTATGCAGTTTATACTTCTACTACTTCCATTTTTCAGGATAAAAGAAGGCACAGAAAGGCTAAGTAACTTGCCCAAAGGCACACAACTAATAGGTGGCCAAACTGGGATCAGAACAGTCTGGCTTCAGAGACTGGGTTCTTTCCAATGTCCGATCCTTGCCCCCTCCAGGGCACCGGGGTAAGAATTCAGGTGTTGAACTGTCAGCCCAAGATCCAGACACCCACACCACACATTCCCACGTGATCTCTGCTCAGCTCATTTTGGCAAGAGACTGAGAAGAAAGAGCCCCCTCTTTTCATCACCAACCACACCAACATTATGCTCTTGCCCCACCCTGCTTAATCCCACAAGCCCCCTGGCCTCACCAGCAAGGTTTCTTCTCATTAACATGGAAGGATGGCTTTTGTTGTCTGATGACCCTTGCTATATCATGTCAGTTTTAAAGTTTGTTTAATTTTCCATTTTAATTGTACCTGGAACCTGGCTACTCATGGAGCAAATGCTTACTCCTACTTCTGCAGATAGAAAGCAGGGACCATGGGAGCCGGTGGAGGGGGACGCTACCTCAGTGGCTGGGCGTCCTCCCTCAGCCAGGTACCGGACCAAGGCTTTGCTCTGAAATTAGTCTCTGGCATGACTGCCTGGGCAAACCCAGAGAGCATTCTTGCTGGGAGAGTCAGACACCGCCCCAGATTTGGCTGACGGATATACAGGAGCCCATGTGTCCGGGATCTTACCTGTCAAGCAATTCAACGGCCTTTGGAAAGAGGCACCAGCAGCACAGGCTCGCCATCTGCTGGGCAGGACGGGGAAGTTCCATCAGATTGCAGTCCGGCTGGTGCCACAGCTTGTCCCACCTGGGCTGAGTTCAGCCCCAAATCCTCACTGTTCTATGCACCGCTGATTCCACAGTGCCTACCTGTCTGCAGGAAGATGCCTGTTCGCACAGGCAAAAAGGGGAGAAGCTACTGGCGTGACCACAGAAGGACTCCCCAAGTGTGCCCCAGCCCAGAACCCTGGAATCTAATGAGCATGTGGGCATCTTGTTTGTTGAAAGAAGACTCTTCATCAGTGTGCCTGGGGTGGAGTACAGCTTCTGCATTTCCAACCGGCTCCCAGATGATGCTGCTGCTGCCGCCGGCCCAAGGATCATACTTTGAGTCACAGGACTTGAGCCCATCACCAACATCCAGTGACTCAACATCCATATCACCTGGTGACAAGCCTCAGCTACCTGGTGACAGGCTTCAGCTGGAGTCTTCTGTTACAGGAAGCCTTTTGTTCTGCTTCTAGTTGAAACAGAGAACAGCTAACAGTGATGAAATCACTACCACTTAGCTACCACTCAGTGTGTGCTGGCCCCTGTGCTAAACATTTCCATATATTGTCTATCATATATTAGCTGATTCCATCTTCTTTCAATCATTTCCCTTTATAAAATAGGTGTTATTATCTCAATTTTATAAATAAGAAAATTGAGTCCTAGAAGAGTTAGGTGTGCCACCGAGTCGCACAGCAAGTAACTGGCAGAGCTGAGATTCAAACCAAGGTCCGAGGTTATCTGACTCCAAAGCCTGCACATAACCAGCCAGTCCCCTGGCTCTCATCAAAAGGCTCAGGTGATACCTCCTTGACCTCTGATTGTTATGAAGTTGTCCCTCCTAACCCTCTCCAGGCTTGCTTCCTGCTCCCTGCCATACCCTCATTCCATGCTCACTCCATCTGTAGTCCACTGGCTGGCAGAAGTAGCTGCAGTTATCCAGCAGCGGGGTGGCCATGACCTGAGAGGAAGAAGAAAGAGGAAAAGATCGAGTCACAAAACCTGTTCCCACCACGGTGGACCCCGACTGGCTCGGGCTCCCGAACACCACCACCCCAATGCAACCTCTGCTGACACTTGGCGAACAACTGCTAATAAACTCCATGGGATGGTGAGATCAGAGGCGCAACTTGTATGCATCTTGCTGGTCTCTAATTTTTTAATGTGGGCAAATATAGGCTACAGCGCCACCCCTGGGTGCCTACTATGCATGAAAGCCTGAGATAGGTGCTGAGGACACCAGGGCGGTCCACACATCCACCCTGCCCCAAGGAACTCGAAGCCTGGCTGAGGATGTGGAAAAAAATTCTAACCTTACAGGTTGGTGCTAGAGGAAGAGTAGGAAGTAGCAGGTGTTCCAGGAGTCGGATCAAAGAATGAGGAGGCTTTGGGCAGACAGAGGAGAGGGAGTGGGAGTTTCATGCCGGGACAAGTGTATGTGGTACCTGGACCTGGGGGCCTAACTAGGAGATTAGCAGGACTGGTGTGGAGGCTCTGACCAAAGGAGAAGCAGGCCACAGAATTGGAGAGACCGAATTGTGAATAAAGGGTCTTGAAGGCTGTTGTAAGAAGCCTGAATTTTATCATGTATTGATTTATTTGACAATAACGTGTTGAATGGTACTAAGCACTTCTCCATGCTGGGCGCCGTTCTGAGCACTGGATCACGTTGATAAAACCAAACAGATAGAAATCTCTACCTTGGGGGACTTGGCATTCTGGCCACATATGCAAAAGGACCTACTGAGGTTTCTGAGCAGGAAGCTGACTGTGAGCGTGGCAGAGTTTTCAAGGGATTGGGGTGGCAGGAGAGTGCCTAGTTGCCATAATTAAATGACAAATTCTCTAGGGCGTGCCTCACGTCTCATGAGTTCTTGGTAGCCCTCATGTGCTACCAGATAGTATGCTGGGTCTGTCTTTAAACAGATAAATAAGACAGGGGTCCTGCCTTTGAAGCACTTGCTGTTTGGGAGGGAAGAAAGGCACATATGGAAGTGGTGACACAGCTGGAGAAAGACCACAGTCGGTGAGGGGTCAGTATATCCTTAATAGGCTCCTAACGTAGGAGAGGTGTCTGCAGGGTTTGCCAATTCCTACGGTGTAAATACTGCCACCACGGTGGAGGGACTTCAAGTTATTTCACACAAAGTCACTGAACATGAAGTTGCGGGGAGACCCACACCTGGTGCTCACCCGTGGGTGGAGTGGCTCCAGCCCATCTCAGAGAGTCCAGGACTGTACCAAGAGCTGGGAATGGCCAAGCAAGGAAACAAATAACCTGGCCTTAGAGGAGTCAGGGAAGGCTTCCTGTGAGGCGACAGCTGACCTGAATCTAAAGGATGTGCAGGAATTTGTCAGGAGACTGGAGGACAAGAGCACTTCTGGCAGAAAATCCGTGAGGTGCCCAGGCCTGAGGACTTGCTGAGCACGGCTGTGTGGGCTGGCGAGCAGGCCTGTGCTGGATGAGGGTGGTGTGCAGGGCTGCTGAGAGCCTGTAGAGGGAGACGAGGTGGAGAGGAAGACAGGGCCAGAGAGGACTCCAGAGGGCTTCGTGTGCCCATGAAGGGGTTTAGCCTCAGCTTCTGCGGGATGGGAAGCATCAGAGGCTCCCAGCAGGCCGTGGCACTACCCTCCCTGTGCTTGGGGTAGATTATTGTGTCAGTAGGGTGGAGGATGCACTATAGCTGGGCAACGAGAAAGGAAGAGACGAAGAGGAGTTGGAAGAGGTATGGCTGTTCAGACCTGCTTCTTCCGTCTCCTCCCCAATAGCTCACCAACAGGCAGAAGAGATGGAGGAGAAGGCTGTAAGCAGTGCAGTCAGGGTGCCTGGTTTGCACTCTGCCTCTGTGCCTTGCCACCTGCTAAGCTACTTAACCCCTCTGCGTCTCAGACAGTGCTATCATGAGGATTAGATGAGCAGATCCTCATAAAGTGCCTGCACCAATGCCTCACCTGTAATCAGCATGGGAACACATCTGTGATGATCATTACCACCTCTGAAAAGCTTTTTCTGACATCCTAACCCCTGGCCCAGACACTGGGTTGCTGCCCCACCCTCCCTGCCCCTGGTGCATGATGCATCCTCTCTGTTGCCCACCCAACACACACTGCATTGCAACCGCCTGTGCCCACACCTGTCTCCACTCTAGACTGTGAGCCTCTGGAGGGCAGGGAGGCCTTATCCAACAGGGATTCTGCAGGCCACAGCACAGCCTGGCATGAAGCATATATTGGATATACACCTGCTGAATGACTGTTTGCAAGGTCTGGAAGGAATACCAGATTTGGGGATCAGAAAACCAGGCAGAGATGAACAGAGCCCGGGTAGAAACAGGAGATGGGAGATCCACATGAGGTGGGAGGGATAAGGAATTCCACTCTGGCTTGCCATGACCTGTACTCTCTCATGTAAGGAAATGAAGAGTGGAAGTTTGCAACAAGGATTGAGCAGCCAAAGAGGGCACAGAATCGCATCCCCTGCGTGTGACCCCATCAAGGTGGCTTTTCAATTTTCTATGTAGGAATATCATGGTTCTATTTATCCCTTGGTCATCCCTCCAAAAAAGATCCTAGAACTCTCCAGGAATACCCGCCCACCAGCCTTACCTCCCAGAGGCACCCTAGGAGAACCACCAGGCCCAGGTTGTAGGCAGCGAGTGCTGTGCCAGCCCCAGAGGCTTCTGTTGGAACATGAAGCAAGGCCTGACGCCACCAGGAGAAGATAGAAGACATGGAGGAGGGTGGCAGGGAGTGGCAATGCACCAGGAGCCAGGAATCCATCCTCAAGCCTAGATAAGCAGAGGAGAAGTGACCGCCGGGCCAGCCACACTGCCCATTCACCCCCAGTCCCTCCCCACAGGAACTCCCACGGCCTTGTTCATCCAGCCCTTGTTCCCAGAAAGCCTGACACAGAGGCTGGCTGAGGAAACAAATGAACGCTCCCACTGGAAGGCATTATCCTCTGCCTCTGCTTTCTAAGGCCCAGGTGTATTTATTCCCGAGCTTTTCCAGGGCACTGGCCATTGTGAGCACCTGTATGTAGAAGCAGGATTTGGCTCTTGTCCAGACAACCGCCTCATCTACTTCCCCTTCCCCTCCTCGGCAACACGGTTGACTGAGAGTCCACAAACTAAAGTTCCTCAGTCTCTCCCATATGACCCCCAGCTATGGGGTTGCCCCAGCACTCCTGCCTTTGGACACTGGACCACCACCTACCATGCACTTTGGGGAGCCTCCATTGGCCATAACTTTGTGCTAATCCTCATACCTTTTGCTGCTCTACTTGGGATTTTCAGCTTCTGACAGTGGCTTCCAGATTGCAGAGTACAAGGGACATGGATGCGGCTACTATGCAGCAAGAGGGGGACAGAGGGACAGAGAGGCCCGAACGCTTCCCCTTTCCCTCCTCTCTCGCTGCACAGTGCCTGCCCCTCCTAAGCATCCCTGGCTCCTCCCACTTCTCACGGGGCTCAGCCTCACCCAGTCCTCCACAGCTTGACTTACACCTCCGGCTTCTCCCAGGCTCCTCTGGGCAGCGAAGAAAGTCGCTCTGGCTGCTCCCGTGTTGTCAGCTGGCGGTGGGTTTGAGCGAAGGGTCCTCTGGGCTCCAGGGTGCAGGGCGTGACCCATGGGTGACCCCACCCTCCCAGAAGCTCTCTACTCCTGTGCTGTGATCTGTTGTTGACCCCAACCCCAGCCTCTACACACATGCGCACACACACAGGCACTCACACATACACACGCACACATGCACACATGCATACACACACAGTTATTGAGAACAGGGAGCTGAGGCCGCCGTCCAGGCCCTGGCTGGGCTCCCTGCCATTCTCATGGCCCAAGGGAGAAAGAGAACAAGAGGCAGTGGGGGTGGGAGGAGAGCACTCCAAGGGCAAAGACAATGGTAGCAGCTCTGGAGAGGGGATCGGGGAGCACCCACAACCTCAGAGCCTCCCCGTGGCCTGTGGCCCACACTCTTCCCTCAGAGCAAGGACCACCCTATCAGAGACTTGGATGGGCATGTAGAGGACACGTGTCTCTCCTGCCTCCACCAGGATAGGCCACTCCTCATGCCTCAGATTTCGATCTTCCTCTTCCATCCCTCTTTCCTACTGTTAAGGAGTAAGCGTTTATCTTTCTTAATCTGCTAAGTCTGCACCCCTCCTCTAGCTCCCCCTCAACAACAGGCCAAGGAGTATGGGGGATTGAGAACCCCAGATCCAGGCAGCCCTCTTCCCCACACCTGCCTCTATCCACCCGTGTTGATAGGAGGCAGTTACAATGGCCATTCGTCCAAATAACCTCTCTTAGGCACATCCTTTCCCTCTTTATGAGATAAAGGAAAAGAACTAACTTTAGAAGCCAGATGCCTGAAGGAGGGGGCCTGGCAGTAAGACTCTGGGTCTTATTCCACAGTGGAGAAAGAAGTCCTAGAACCAGCCTCTTTAGAATAGAGTGCCCCAGTTTCTCCTTCTGACAAGATGGCACACTGTGGTCTTGTCTGTGTAAGGCCCGGATTGTCCATGCTCACAGACAACAGGGTTAAGAGATCTGAAGAACTAGAAGAGGTAAAGGTAGGTTAGAAGCATGGTGGGCCACACACACTAGCTACACGTGTGTACATTTGCACATGCTACCAAAGGCCCTCACTCTGCCCTGCCCTTGACTCTATCAGGAAAAATTCCCAGCTGGCTTCAGTTAGAAGATAAGCCCTCCTACACTGTCATATCTAATTTTCCATAGAATCTAGTTGAAATTATTCCACTAGGGCTTCAAGGCTGCCCGTACTGTAGCCAGACCACCCCCCCGCCCCGATATCCCCTCTGATCTTCTGTCAGAAGCAGAGATCAATGTGCTGCCTCTGCCACCTCCATGAACCCGGTCTCCCTGCCCTGTCTGACATGCACACATCCATGTCTACTTCTCTGGCTTTTCCACACTTCCTTCTCCACTGACTGTTCAAACCCAGCCGTCATCCTTGCTGCCCTGAAGTCCCTCCTCAGCCACAAAGCCTCCCAGTCCTCTTTCCCAATTCCCCGCAGGACTAGCACGGTCTGTCCCCAGAGTGTAGCCCGTAAGTTTGGTCTTCCAGAGTAAAAGGTAAACTCCCTGTGGGACACGACCACTCACTGCACTTCACAGATTGATGGAAACATCGGGAAAGCCCTAGGGTGATGTGTCAGGAAAATGAAAACCATCTAGCTCAAAGCTTTGGCCGTCACTCTGCTGGTAACTCTCCGCTGTGTCTTCATAAAACCATCCCTCATGTGCAGACAGCACCTTACAACCGATATGGGAAACTCTTGGGAAGTACCCTATATAGGACCTGAGACGCTGGGTGCCACCTTATTCCCCGGAAGCAGCTCAGATCAAGAGAATGGGGCTGTGAATTTCAGGCCAGTTGCACCACAGCCAAGTGCTCTTTCTCCGAGCTCAGCCACATCACACAGCTGCTGGGAAGGAGGAGGCCACTGACCCCCTATGACCGCCCCCTATTATAGGCCCTTTGGGCTTATAGATCAGATAGATTAGGGAGAAGTTTGTCTACCAACATCCTGCAGCTGTAAAATAAGATCATGACTGCATGCTACCATAGATTCCTTCTGACCCAAGCAAAACAACAAAAGGACTCCAAACCTCATTCCTTTCCCTCCTCAGCCCACCACGCTCACAGAACCCTGGCTGCAGCTCAGCCATCTGCTCCCACTGCTGGGTGAGCTAAGCCACCGTGAGGCCCTGAGATGAGACAGGCTGGCTCACCTGAGGGCAGAGGGCTGGGAATTGTGTGGGCAAAAACTGACACTGCAAGGAGTAGTGTATTTATATACCCACAACATAATGACGGCTGACATTTATTCCCAGACCATGTGCCAAACGCCATTCTAAACACCATACGCATGCTAACACATTTTCTCCTCACAACAATCCCATGAGGTAGGTACTATTAGCACCTATTTCTGTAGATGGGAAAACAGGCACAGAGAAGTTAAGTAACTTATCCAGTATCACAGCAATAAGTAGCAGGGCCAGGATTCAAACCCAGACAGTTTGGTGTGGAGCCCAGACACTTAAAAGTGCATTCTGCTATCTCTTCAGTCTCTTAGTGTATCGTGGTTTGTTTTATTGAAATGAAAAGAGCCAAAAGAGTGGTCTCGATGAACAAGAAGAGGAAGCCCCAATTTATCCGATTCAAAACAACTTCCCTACTGGCTTCCACAAGAATCCTGCGCAAGTAGCAGTAAAAACCAACATTCTTTCCTGCCTCCCTTCATTCCTCTATTTCTTCCCTCCCTCCCTCCTTCCTTTCTGATGTCCATCCTTTCGCCTAGATCGGACAAGGGATTTTCAGACGTTTGAGATTCCGAGCAAAGGTGCCTCATCAGGCCTCACCAGTCTCTGCATGGGGAAAGAGAAGCCCTAAGAAAATGGTCAGCCGTTCCCCCTCTGAAACAATGACCCAGCGCCCTGCTTTCTGTGTGCTTGTGCAAGATTTAATTGGACTAGAAGAGTACCACTGCTTTTTATAAGTTATTGAACATGACTGGTATAGATAGTGAAGATGAAGCTGGATAATTTGGGCTGTGACACTTTGTCGTGTACTGGCAGGAGTGCTGGCCTCCTCTGCCATCTTCCGAGAGGGACGTAGCAGTCATAATGGGATCTTTCCTTTCTCCACTGGAGGGGCGTTATCCAGGGCACTGCCCTCTGCCCCCACAGGTCCTTTATATCGGGACCGCGGACAACATATTTCTCACTGTCAAAATTAGGAAGGGCCCTACCTCTCAGGGCCAAATTAGTAGGCTTTCGAGTCATAATAGAGAGATTTTCAGGTGCTAATCTCATCTTTAATTTTATTATATTTTTTACATATTATGTTCCTCTGACAAAATTTAGTTTATCCTTCTGTTTCGTTATTATTGGAAGTAGCCTGGAAATTTTTACTGAGTGACATGCAGAGGTTGTCAACATAAATAAATACGCATGTATTAAAGCAGTTTTCAAGCATCTATCTTTCACTGTGGTTTAAATGGCTTATGCAGAGTCACAACCAGTCAAAGGAGTGAAGCCAGGTCAAAGCACAGACCACCCACCCTGTTACACAGCCTCTAAAACCTGCCTCTGTGCACAGTCATTGCACACTTGGTTCTGCTCATTTCGCAGGAGTCCCTTAACCACATGTTACTCTAGTCTCTTTAAGCTGAAACACATTTCTCAGTCACAACTCTGGGCCGCTATTTCCCAAACTGAAGAACTTATTCCTGAATGTCATCGTCCAGAAGACAAGATGAAATGTGTATGTGCAAGTGTGTGTGTGCGTACACATTCCTGTGTGTGTTAACACAATGTCCTTCAAGTTGCTTTCTCTATTTTTGTCTCTATTTACCTTGATCAGTTCTACTTGTCCCAGTCACGCCCATTTCTGTCTACTTTTCTTGCTCGTGTTCTCCCTTTCTTTGAACATCACACACTGGGTCCTATTGTGGGGAGGGGGTAGCGGGGAGGGATAGCATTAGGAGATACACCTAATGTAAATGATGAGTTAATGGGTGCAGCACAGCAACATGGCACATGTATACATATGTAACAAACCTGCACGTTGTGCACGTGTACCCTAGAACTTAAAGTATAATAATAAAAAAAAAATCGGCCTCGTGCGGTGGCTCAAGCCTGTAATCCCAGCACTTTGGGAGGCCGAGACGGGCAGATCACGAGGTCAGGAGATCGAGACCATCCTGGCTAACACGGTGAAACCCCGTCTCTACTAAAAAATACAAAAAAAAAAAAAAAAAAAAAACACAAAAAAACTAGCTGGGGAGGTGGCAGGCGCCTGTAGTCCCAGCTACTCAGGAGGCTGAGGCAGGAGAATGGCGTAAACCCGGGAGGCAGAGCTTGCAGTGAGCTGAGATCAGGCCACTGCACTCCAGCCCGGGCAACAGAGCAAGACTCTGTCTCAAAAATAAAATAAAATAAAATAAAATCAAAATCAAAAAAAAAAGAAAAAATAAAGAAAGCAAAGTGGCAGGAATGAGAACTAGTGGAAGATCAGGCCTAACAGGAAATGAAGGAGCAGTACTGTACAGCCGCTACTGGGGACAGAGGAGGGAGGGAAGCAAAAACCCAGTATTACCAGCAAGGGAAAGACGTTCTCTTTGGTAGAGGAGTTGAGGGAGCAGGGGGAGCTGTGCAATGGTGTGTGATGGGGAGAGATGTTTTATTAATAGGATACCCCAATATGCTCCAAGGTATCTCATCTGCCAGTCAACCGAGCTGCTCCCTGAACCCAAGGAAACCTGACATGACGCATGTCCCCACAGTCCTTCAGGCCGTCCTTCCTCTGTGCTAGGGGGAGCAGCCCCAGGCTTTGCAGGTCAAAATTGGCAAACAAAGAGCTCAGTCCTGGCCTCATTTCTTATTTTGCCCCGAGATGCTCCCAGCTCTTGATGCATCGTGGGGACCATGCAGAGGACAGGCTGCACCCCTGTGGCCACTGGCAGCCTTCTCCTCTCCAATCAAGCTGATAAGAGAGCTAATTGTAAGAATGGCTCACAGGTGCCTTGGCCGGCACTCCTGCCAGCCTCATGGATGCAATAATGGGTCTTTGTGCAGCGTGGGCCATTACTAACAAGGATAACTAAATCATTCATTTCATTAACAACGGGCTTTGGCAGATAATTGTGCAAGAGGCAATTATCAGCAATGCATGTTCCAGGAAGGAGCGTGGTCGCTGATTTTCCACAGAGCCGCCAGGAGAAATACGAGACAAGGTTGAAACCACCACTGGGCCCTCAACCCCAGGATAGCCACTCTTTAAAGCCTGTGGCTTTATGGCTTTATGGTCAGAACTGGAGATAGAGAGAGAGACACACAGAGAGAGAGAGAGAACGAGTTTGCTTCTTGCACAAAGATTCCCTAGGTGACCTTGACTTTTCTCTCCTATTTAATAGAATGAGGCTCCAAATTCCATCATCCTCCATCTCTACCTCACCATAGATCTGGTCTTCATGGCCCCACCACAGCAATCTTCCTAAAACACTAATTTTTACCATGTTAGGAGATGGAAAAAAAACTCATTGTCTATAGCTTTCAAGTTCAGCTCAGGCTAGTGCCAAGATCCTTCTGAAAGCATGGACAGATGAAGAGGTAAACAAAAGGTGCTATATGCATACAATGGACTATTAGTTGTAGAAAAGAATGAAGTACTGATATAGGCTACAACATGGAGGAACTGTAAGACATTAAATGAAAGAAGTCACACGCACACGACAACATATTGCATGACTCCATTTCCATGAAATGTCCAGAATAGGGAAATCTGTACACACAAAAAGATGAGTGGTTGCCAGGGCCCAGAGGGCAGAAGGAAGGGAATTAGGAGTGATTGCCAACGGGTATGAGGTGTTCTTGAGGTGATAAAAATGTTCTGGAATGAGATAATGATGATAGTCATATAACTCTGTTAATATACTAAAACCACTGAATTGTACAATTTAAACAGGTGAATTTTACAGTATGTGAATTAAAAAAAAAATCTTTTCTGAACTCAAGGCAGAGGGTCAGGTGGTGCCTGCCAAGTACGGGACTTGTGGGGACAGAGGCAGTTTTCGCTGGCACTAGACCGTTGGCACGGCCCTGGGAACAGGGCTAAATAGTCTCCACTGAGGTTTGTGTCATGCTTCCTTCAAGGAGTTCTTTGGGCCCGTTCACAAAACCAGTGCAAGATGCAAGTTAGCATGAGAAAAAAGTGCCTGATCTTTCTAACATTCCTCCTATTGGTTAGATGATCTAA